ACTAATGCAAACTACAATCAATCTAATCTCAATGATCCAATATATATAGATTCCGTTGTTAAATTAGAATGTCTCCCACTGAGAGTAACTATGAGGTCGTATTCGTCACCCCATCGGTCTACTTGATACATGCGGAGGGAATAACTTGGGTACATCTATAACGATTCATGAATTGAATACTTCGAGTATCCGGTATTATAAAAAGTATAATACACTTTGCAAACTCTTTACAAATCACTATTCTGCTCATCTTGGGAAATTGTCTTAAAAGTCTTAAACCTATTGTACTTTCGTCAATTGAGTCCTAAATTTTTTAATTGTATCAATTGAGTTTTAAACATTTTCATACTTTTTCAATTGAGTCCATATGGTCAATTTTGGCTAGAATTCGCCATTGTGGACATTGATTATTCTACGTGGCATGACCGACGTTGGAATGGATAATTTTTAATAATATTTTAATATTTTTTTGAAAATTAAAATTTTTAATTTTTAATTTTATTCTTTTCTTTTCTTTTTTATTTTTCCCATTTTCTCTCCGCCTGCCTCAGGCAAGGGTCGCCTTTGCCTGATTTGGGGAAGTTAGCCCTTCACCAACCTAGGTGAGGACAAACCCTCGCTCGATATGGTGAAGGACTGCCTTCGCCAACCCAAAAGAGGGTGGCACTTGCCAAGCTAGTGAGGACGACCCTCACCTAGGTGAGGGCTGCCCTCGTCCGAGGCTGGCAAGGATGGCCCTTGTTTGAGGCCAGTGGAGAGAAAAGGGAAAAAAGAAAAGAAAAAGAAGAGAAGTGTAAAGGAAAAAAAAAAGAAAAAGTAAAAAAGGAAAGGAGAAGAAAAGATAAAAAAAAAATATTCTAAATTAGAGGTGCTTATCATCTTAAGATCAACTTTGGACAATATATTCAAATTAGTCCCTGAATTATATGAAAATATCCAAGATGTAATGTCCCTGAACTTATAGTAAATGTTCAAATTAGTCCCTGAATTATATGAAAATATTCAATGTCATCCTTCAATCAATTCAAGTATAACATTAAATATTTTCATATAGTTCCTGGACTAGTTTAAACATATACCATTGAATAAATTAAAATTTCAGGGACGATATTACTTATTGAGCTAAAATTAAGGGGCCGCATTATATGTTGGGTCAAAATTTAATAATCATTTGTGTCATTTTCCCTTAACAAAAAGAAGAAGAGTGAAAAAAAAAAACGAAAGAGTGGAAGGGAAGGAATTCATTGCCTTAACCAGAATTGAGGCCAACCCTGAAAGTCTGAAAGCCCAACAAACCCAATTCGTCTTCATCTTTTCTTTCCTTCCCAACTGAAATTAACGATCTGTGAATGTCAATTTTGGCCATTTCTTTCCTTCCCTCCATATTCGATCCGAGTTTCAAATCAACTGAATAATTACATTTCACATCATATATGCCGTAGCACCAATCGCAAAATGAGGGCGTAAAATCTCATCACGACGCCGGGACACATAAAAATACGACATTTAATGTATAAATACCACAATGCGGTATCTGCTAATCGATGAGAATTGTCAATCTATATAGCAAAGGGACAATGTACATAAACAAAAAGACGGGTTAAACAAGCATCTTTAATTTAAGGACGTGCTTAGAGTAATTTTAATTTATCAGCTTTTTTTATCTTTCTTTTATGCACCTGAAAAGTTGACTTCTATTTAGTATGACTATCGAAATGTTAAAATTATTCAGAATTTTTTTTAGAACTTCAATGGCAAAAAACGCCGTGGAGGGAAAATCAAAATCAAAAGTAAAATTTCTTTTGCGCAAAAATATGACATGACTCTGTGGCTCTCCATATCAAGAATCTTGACTCTTGGACCCCCCACTCCATGTGAATCTGACACCCAGATTCACAGAGCATTATTTACATTTGAGCTCTTGTAATATTAGGTGATTTGCTCAGTGATTTTCAGAATTCAACAATTGCTTTTTGGCTTTTACAGCAGGATTTTTCTGGGACAAGTAACAGAGAGAAAGCCACCATATCTCAGGAGTTCTCTGCAACAATTAATGAAGCAATATCATGATGACAAATCTGTTAAAGCTTCTGAGCAGACAACTGTAGATGACATACCAGTGGAAATTGTTGAACTCGTGGCAAAAAAAAACTCCTGCTGAGAACAAAGTAAGCCAATGGATTCTGGCAGTTCAAGGATTGTGAAGGAATGTGGAAACAGGGAGCTGAACTTATCGCAAAAGGAAAGCATTCCGAAGAGGCAAATTCACTATGGAAATCCCCGTAGTGTTGTAGTTGGATAAGATTTCAGATCGCCCATGCAAAAGTTTGTTCAGAACTCTTCTTGCCCGATCACAAATTATGCAAGCGATGGCCATGTAGAAGGAACTCCTAATACTGCAAGGCATGTTATGTTTTCCCAGGACCAAGAAAGGTAAGTTAAGGTCCGAGTATGCGTTACGGATCCTTCGAGGCAGGGTACTATTTTGAATGGCACAATGAACGAGGATATTTCCAGAATCAAGCCCATGTTCGATACTAATTTCGAGACACGTAGCAGAACCCATGTTCCCGACAAGGTGACGAACCGGTTCGTCTATCGTCATCCATGATACCAACCCACATGCCCTTTGTGTACAGTATCCCTCCAAACGGGGGACTTCACTCTAATCATATGGATGTTCAATCATATCGCCCCAAAACGCCACCTACCAAGATTATTTAGCTTCAGTGCTACAAACCTTGAGAGGCCGAGTAAGGACTTTCATTTCCATTCTCTCAGCAGAACATGTGTGGAGAACCCGTATGCATCGAGACATAAGGGAACCGTGGTTGAAAATGGATATGACTCATTTGATTTTCCTTCTAATGAAACTATACCAGCCATGCATTTACTCAGTCTCTTGCATGCTGGACCTAGTTCTGGTCAAAACATTGATTTGGGCGGAAATGATAGGTTCCCGAAATATCCTTCCTTTTAGCGTGGCTATCATTCAAAGGATATTCCTGGGCAGGCATTGAGACTGCACAAGCCATCTGATCCGTTGAAATGCTCATCTTCAGGTTACTGTCCTACAAATTTCCTTCCAGGGAGATACCACGAACATTCTGCTGTTCCGATCGTGAGTGCATCTGCTTCCTTTGTTCAACCTGATAAATTTTTTGGGGGGGATAATGAAAGTAAAGCGTGTCTCCCTCTCAAGGTCCGTGATAAAGGAAAGAGAAAATGTTCCGATCTAGCTGGACCGACTGGAGGCTCTACATTCTCTAAACCTCTAGTCAGAAGTGCCTATTCAGGAATGAGTCACGGAGGCAATCTCTATCATAAATCAGGGAATATCTTTGGCATGCCAAATCCTAGGAATTTCTCACCGCACGAGGAAAACTCTGAAAAGGCCAAAATGGATGCCCATAATAGAAGTGAAACCATTTGGCATCCGAGATGCAGTTCTGGGCCTGGAATTTGCACGATTAATCAGAACCCTGCAGACTTTAGCTCGCCAGAAGCAGGAAATATCTACACAATCGGACGTAATGACCTAAAATTTGAAAAGAAAGTCCGATTTCTGAAGAAGTCTGGCCTAGCTAATTTGGATGGTTTGAAAGAAAAGAGTAGCATGAAGCTCACCGCTGGATTTAGAATTCCCCAGCATCAGCTTGGTTGAATCCCTCCTCATATTCATAAGGTAGTGCTTCCAAAGATTTTTATATAGTTCTTCAGGTAGAGGCATCCTTATGTTCTCTTTAACCGGCTAGATTCTAAGGCTGCTTCGCCTGCAGATTCTAGCCATGTTCCCGATACTTTTACTAAGTCAAGGTTTTATTTTTCTAGTTCCGACAGGTGAGCATCTTGGTTTTCTTGCTTAGTTGCTGCAAAAAAGAGCATCTTGAACGGGTTTTGGGGGCTCTAGTGTACAGAATGTGCGAGCTGTTTTGTGGTCGGGAAAGTTGCTGTTAGTTCTGACTCCAGATCCCTCTCTAAGCCAGCATCATGAAAATACAACCAGATAAGGCCTGTAAAACTGCGAGAAGTTTGACCCTCTCAGAGTTCTCAGCACGAGACTCCAGTGGTTATGCAGGAAGTAGATGCTTGACCCTATGAGAGTACCTCCATGTTTTGTCTTGTGATTTACCCTGGCAATGAATGTGCTTAGGAACAATAGCAGGGCATCGACACAACTATTTGGCCGAGTGAGGCACACGGCAAGTTTGTGCTTTTCTTTTGTTTTTTTCTCTTCATTTCAGCAGTTGTAATAAGGGTGTTTGGCTACGGTGAAAGGGAGGACCTGGAAATGTTGTTGGGTTGAAATGAAGCAAAAGGAAAAGAAAAATGAAAACATTACATTTTGGATATCTGAATTTCTCGTTGTACAAGAAAAACTTAATTGACGTGCTTACCATCTTAAGATCGACTTAGGACAGACTGCCAGCTATTTGAGTAGGGATACTATTTTTCCAGATATATACTCCATTCCACTCGGATACGCGCTACTTGTACATTCTCTATAGTGTCCTATTTCCAGTTTAAGCATTGGTCTTCTGATGCAGCTATACTCTTACGACGAGCTTGTCTAGATGATCTGCACGTAATTGGTTGGCTTGCTCTCTCCATGTAGAGTGGTGTTGGTTGAAGCTAAAGCACAAACGAAATTTAGATTTCAAGACAATAAGTCCAACTATTTTCTCAGTTGAACAAATTGGCTAAGGGGGATCCATAACCCGTTTGTTGCTTCATCGTAGGATAATAGGAATAAACTCAGTATCAAGATCTCAAGGGATCGAGTCTCGAGTGCGGATCCTATTGAGATTTGCCCATTGTACTAATGTTGTCCTCTGTCTGAATGACGAAAGAATTGCGTAAGCTTGATAATTTGTGTGCTATAACTCAAATGTAGCAATGGAAACCTGTATAAAGATTATGTATACGTACAAATATGGCCAATCTACAGCTTTTAAATAAGACACGCAAGATAAATACTTCCAATTTAATGAGTAGTAGTAAAGGATCCATGGATAAAGATAGAAAAGCATATTTCTAATCGATACGACATCTTATGCCACTTAAGATTGTGTATACCTACAAACTCTAGCTTCCTTATAAACAAGCCCTGCTTTGCAAAGATAACCTTTTGCTGGACTACAATGGCTGTCTTCTGAACATATGCACTGTCCTTCTAGGGCACACCCATCACCTTTTGCTGCTTCATTCCGAAACAATATCTCATCTGACCATTCACTTGAGAACATGTTTTGTGGGTCCAATTGCTTCTTAGCTGCCATGAATCTGCCAAAATTGGGATACTTGTTTCGGACATTCAAGAATGCCAAGTTCCTGTTTTTAGCCCAATGTGGCTTAGCCCCATGCTTGAAGAACGCCATTTGCTCCACTTCCTCCCACACTTCTTGATTCAGTCTCGGGGTTGAGGGGTCATCGGCTCGGTAATAGTTGAAATCCACCACGACCGAGTCCTCGGATTGGCCTAAGTACGCCTTGGAGGCCTTAATGAAACGTATCAGAAACCCATTGTAGACATCCACTCCACAGAAGTTCTCTGGATTCATGTCCCTGAGCTTCTTCACGTCTCGAATGAAATCAGCGAATCTTTGGGCAGGGAATATCGCCGCCACGTCGTAAAAAAAGAGCCCGTCAATTCTTGGATCCCAAGCACAAGTAAGGTCAGTTCTCAAGGGAGGTGAATATAAACATGAACCAGAAGTTTGCATTTTTCCCTGGGTACCGATAACCGGATAGCCAGTGAAGATCAGGCCATTCCTCAAGCCATTGGCAACCAGCTTCCTGTATCCCACCGCGGTTGATGCCAATGCACACCTTCCATCCACGTTCCTTGCGTTCTCCAGTAACTTCTCTGCGTACATTAGTTTTGAGGATGATATGCCGATGCCATGATAGGAAAAAACAGGCATAGTATAAAAGAAAGAAAGAACAAGAGAAGCATTACCTGTTGCTCGTGCGGATTTAGAGACAACAACTGAGTTGGATTGAAATCCTAGGAAGTCATAAACGCCATCACCCGACGTGTTTAGGGGGACTCGATTATCGTATCTGTAAACGGCAGTGTGTTTAGATGGGTACCAAGTGATATCGGCGAATTCGTATTTCATGGCATGGTCCCTATATATCTCTTCGATCCGAGCATCGTCCGTGAAATTATAGGTTATGCTTCTCTTGAACCCTCCCTCGAGAGAAAATTTCACCTGAAATCGATGTTATACTAGGATTCAGAAACAAGCTATAATGAATCAATCCTCGACAATCTTTCGCTTCTCCTTTTTTGTTTTCTTCACTAGACAATTTATCTGGGGATTGTTGTGTTTACACCGAACAAAGACTAATCCCCAGAACATCTGAAGCTAAAGAAATTTCTGGCAGCACGAAAGTTCAATGTAGTCATTTCGGTCTAAAGCGCGAGAAACTCAATGTTACAGAGTAAAAAATTTAAATTTCAAGAACTCAACCATATACCGAGTGCAACCATGAAATCAACATACCTTGGAGATCACACCCAACATGCCCAGTGACACTCTAGCAGCATTAAGAAGCTGATCCTGTGCCTCAATTCTGATGACTTTGGCAAAACCTTCCGATTCCTTGGCCGGGACCACAAGGCTAATACCGACCACGTGATCGTGCACCGCCCCGCCCTTCCCCCACCACGAGCTACCATGCGCTCCCGTGCTTATCAGCCCGCCCACGCTCACGCCCTCCCAGTACGTTGCAGCCACCAGGCTCAACCCTCGTCCCTCTACTCTGTTGATCAGCTCCCGCAGCGGAACCCCCGCATCGGCCGTGACCACCAAATTGGTCGCATCGATGTCAATACTCGAGGCATAATTCGCCGTGCTTATCAAGTACGAGTTGGCGGATTGAGTCCTCCCGGGGCAGGCCAGCTTCGGCATGGTGTGCGAGAACTTGCTCGCGACTTTGACGTTCAGTCCGTTGCGAGTCGCATAGGCCACGGCCGAGCGGAGCTCTTCCTCGGTCGAAGGGTACGTGACATTTTGGACATGGCAGTCCAATCTGTCATTCCATGCACCATACGAGTTGTGGAGGATGCAACCATCACCACCGGCGGGACTGTTGCACATGACAGGGGAAGGTGGTGGCATGGAAGCAGCTTTGAGCAAGATCGAGTCCATGTGAAAGAGGAGGAGGAGGAGGAGGAGGAGGAGGAGGGCATGGAGGAGCCACTGAGAGTTGGCCATTGAAGAAAGTTTCAAGAGTGTCCTGTTCTTGGAACGGTAATGAGGATGATTGCAAATGTCAAATGATAGGGTCGCGTACTTCGTGTTGAAATGTTTTGGAATATATATTAGTTGGCATGTCCACGAGATGCAATTTTCCTTACTAACTGAATAAACCAATTAAAAATTTCTTTTCTTGGTAAAAGTTTAAGAATATTGATTCAATATCATTAGTAGCCTTAACCATTATCTTGATCTAGTTTTGAATAGATATTTTTGGAAGATATGAAGATTTTATTAGCGAGTGTCCCATGCACAAGCACTTACAAAGTAACTAATCGCGAATATATTATAAATTTCCAATGTACCAACTATTCTCGTGATGCGTAATTACTGTTTTCTTAAACGAATTGTTTCAATAGAGGTAATGACCCATGTAATATTATATATTGTATTAAAAGCGACTTTGCAAGTTAAATGTGTTAAATTTTAATGAAGGGCGTCATTTCTTTTTCAAATAAAATTTTTAAATGTTTTCCAAGAAAATGCAAGAGTTTGGAGAAAAATATTTTGATAATAAGTGGTGAAATTGACCATTGAGAATGAGAAAACATTTTTAAAAAACTAGGATGTTCTTTTTTTAAGTATTCGCATAGCTATGGTAATAAGTAGTCGAATTAACTCTACGAGAATGAAAAAGTAATTGTGTCGATAATTTTACGTAAAATTGACTATATTGTGCACGATATGTTCTATGATGTATATAAAGAAAAAAATCTACTCTTGTCTATATGAGAATATGAAGAGGTAAAATTGATTTACACGCTTGCAATATAATACACCATAAATAAGATTCCTTTTGATTTTATCCAATACAACATGTAGTAAAATACAATGTTAGAGTAAAAATTAATTAAAAATTAATAATTAATGTTACACAATCGAGTCGAATTATATAGAAATTAGTTCCTGATAAATCAATTTTTGTAAAATATGATGTAGGAGATGTTTGGTAAGTATAATGTGAATTTATGTATGAGGCAAATGAGCCCATAATATTTAATTATCTTCCAAATAATATATATTTTTCAAGTGATTTTCTTTTACAATTTCACGATTATTTTGTCATTGCTATAACTCACAAAATACTATTTTTCATGTGAGTTAAACATGCAAGAGTAGAGAAACGGGTTTAATGAACATAATAATTGTCATTAACATAATAAATGTTGTCTTCACCTAAACTTTAAGAAAGAACTCATTACTACAGCAAATTACAAGTGGATCACCGCTTCAAAAGTGGGAAAATTGCCAAAAAGTCTTAAACCTAGTGAACGACAGCTAATTCAGTGCTAAATCTTTTAATTGTGTCAATTTAGCTCTAAGGTTTTTGATTATTTGCCAATGTAGTTCTTCTAGCTGATTTTAGTTGGAAATCGCTAACATCGACAATTTTTGCCATTTTTATTGTTTATTGTTTATTTTCTTTTCCTTCCTTATTTTTCCCAACTCTAGGCCGACGAAGACAAAAAAAAATAATTAAAAATATCAAAAAAATTTATAAAATTACAATAATTGTCCTTGCTAGCAGCTGGCCGCGCCAAGTAAGACAGTCGGCATACACGTCAAGGCCAAAATTGGTCTGAAGGATTATATTGGCAAATCATAAAAAAATTTATGATTAAACCGACACAATTGAAAGGTTTATGACTGAATTAGCCATCTTACAATAAGTTTAAAAACTGAGGTTTCAATTTTTCTTTGCTTAAAATATATTTTATATTTTGGCTCCCATATTATCCGAATCACTAAGGTAACCTAATATATCGTGGGGCATAGACTAGAGCTTACTTATGTAAGATGGCCTACTTCGTAAGGAAAATAATTAATGGCAATACCTTGAGTGCTCCACTTTTGAATTGGTGGCCTCATCCACCAGCTGGTATTCATATCTCCTCTCCCCTCTATCTAGTCACAGCATCTGTACCTCTGTTCATCCAAAATTAGGAATCTCCCTACCCAACTCCAACACTTGGTTTTGGACCATATCCCAACATTAAAGACAATTTAATGCCGAAATAATTGAGCAAGTTGAGATTTGTGGTAGAAGAGAGAAAAATGTGACGACGCGTGTTTCCAAATGAAGAGCACACGCTCCCTATATGTGCATATATATTAAATGTAGATTCCGCGGTGAAATCACTATGTGTCTCACTGAGAATAACTTCGAGGTCACATTCGTCACCCCGTCGGTCTGCTTGGTACACACGGAGGGGTTAATTTGTGTACGGTTGTAGTGATTCATCGAATTGAATAGTTGGAGTACCTGGTATCATAAAAAAGTATAGTACACCTTGCAAACTCTCCACAAATCACAACTCTGCTCATCTTTCACAAATTCTAGGGAACTAGTCAATGAACAGAAAAGGTGCAGCTTGAGTAATTTAGGAAACTGGTTTGAATGATTGCAGTATGGGAAAAATGCACCTCTAACATAGAATTTAGGAGATAAGATGTGAGTTGTACTGATATTTTTTAATCACCAATTTGTCAATTGTTTAGTAATATCCATTAATATTTATCTTGTAGCAAACATGGGTTTCATGGGAACTTTGGGCAAAATTCTAAGGTTGCAATGAACATTGGAAGGAAAGGAATTCATTGCTTTAACCAGAATTAGGCGAATTCTGAAAAGTCTGAAAGCCTAACAAGCCCCATTCGTCTTCATCTTTTCTTTGCTTCCCCCATTGAAATTAACAATATTTGAATGTCAACTTTGCCATTTTCTTCCCTCCATATTCAATTCGAGTTACGAATCAAATGAGTAATGACGGTTCAAATCGTATATATCGTCGCACCGATCGGAAAATGGAATCTTGAAAATCTTACCACGACTTTTAATAGACAGGATACATAAACACACGACATCTCGCATATGAATACCGTGAGGCAATATCCGCGAGTCGATGAGAATCGCCAATCTACGTAACAAAGAGACGACGAACAGTAACAAACAGACGGTTTAAACAAGCATCTTTAATTAAAGGACGCGCCGAGGGTGGTTTTTAATTTATTAACTTTATTTCATCTTTTTTTCATACACCTGAAAAGTTGACTTCTATTCAGTATGACTATCGAAATGTTAAAAATTATCCATGATTTTTTTGAAAATTCAATGGAAAATAAACGCTGTGGAGGGAAAATCAAAATCAAAATCAAAATCAAAAGTAAAATTTTCTTTTGCCAGAAAATATGACATGACTCTCTCTCTCTCTCTCTCTCTCTGGCTCTCCATATCAAAGAATCTTTGACTCTTGGGCCCCCACACTCCATGTGAATCTGACACCCAAATTCAGAGAGCAAAGGCTTCGTTCCCATCGATTGATTGGTTTGCCGCACCATGGCCCATCCACAGTATCCAGCGGTCGGTCCACAAACCAAAACATTCACATCGATATCACTCCACGTGATTACGGATAACGACAGAAATGATCTTCAAATTTTAATTTAATATGTAATTTAATCAATCAATTTTTAATTTATTTAATCTAATTCTTGAACTCTAACTCAATGTCCAACGTTGTTCCTCAACTTTTAATAAGTTTATGGACTACACTGAACGCGTGCCAAAAGTCTAAAGACTGTATTGAACAAATTAAAAGCGTACGATCACGTTGCACATTGAGCTAAAATTTAGGGATCCACATTGCGAGAATCAATTGTGTCATTTTCTCATACCACTAATGACCATGGGTACACGACGATCTCCATCTTAATTTCCAATCATATCATCGATTATGTATCATGGCAGACTTAATTTAAAGCTTTAAAACTTGAAAGCGGGTAAAAAGTGAAAAGGGGCATGTTTGGGGCGTTTCCATACTTCGATTTTCTTACTTATATTTTCATTTTAACTATTATAAGTCCAAATTTATTAACTTATGTTTGTAAAAAAGAATGACTAATATTTATATGCAATGACTCAACTAATGTAGTTAAACCGTGTCTAATAATTAAGAGAGAAGCTCTTGCTACATTTCCTACGCTACATACACTTCACCATTAGCAGCAGCAGCAGCTCACATCAAATCCCCACCGTCTAAATTCCTACAGCCGACAGATCGCAGCCGTCCATCCTCCCCCCCGAGTCGTATCCGACCGTCTCCTGCAGCGCCTTCAGCAGCTGGGCCCCCTTCCTCCTCCCCCGGGCGCTGCAGTCCCCCTGCAGCGCCAGCATCACCGCCCGCGCCACCTCCTCCGGCGGCGCCACCGCCGCCGCCTCCCCCCCGCCGCCGCCGCCGCCGCTGCCGCCGCCGCAGAATATCACGGCGAGCACGCTGATGGCGTGCTCCCTCCCCCGCCCCTCCATCCTCCCCATCATCTCCACCATCACCGGCACCGCCAGGGCGTGGGCCCGCACCTCCGCCGCCCCCTCGGCGACCGTGCACATCAACTCCAGCGCCGCGAGCGCCCTCTCCGCGGCGGTCACCTCCAGCTCCATCGCCGACTCCACGACCGCCGCGGCGGCCCCCGCCTCCACCGCCACCCGGCGGTTGTCCTCCGCCAGGCAGAGGGCGAAGAGGATCTTGGTGGCCGACTTGGGGCCCACGTGGGCCTGCATGCAGCTCACGACGGCGCGCATGAGCCCGAACGGGCAAGTGGGCTCGAGGGGCGGGTTCGGCACCAGGGAGCGCTCCAGGAGGTGGAGGGCCGAGAGCTGGTCGGGGCCGGAACCGGTGGTCAGCCGGAGCTCCGCCGAGTGGAAGAGATCCTGGAGGACGGCGGGCGAGATGGGCGGCGGAGGTGGCGGGGGCGGCTGCTGAGTGGGCGGGGGGTGGTGGTGGTGGCGGTGGAGGGGTGAATTGAGAGGGAATTTCCAGAGGGTGAAGCTCTGGGAAGTGGAGGAAGAGGAGGAGGAAGAGGAGGTCTCGGCTTTCTTGGGAGGGTGGGTGGCGGGCGGCGGGGGCGGCGGAGGAGGGGGAGCAGGAGGGGATGGAGGTGGCGGAGGAGGAGGAGGAGGAGGAGGAGGGGGAGGGGGCGGAGGAGGTGGGTCGGAAGGGGAGAGGGGGAGGGGGGGAGGGGTTGGGGCGGTGGGGCTGAGGGAGGTCTGGGTGCAGTGGCGGAAGAAGGAGCAGGAGAAGATGGGGCGGGGGGAGGGTTGGGTTTTGAGCTTTTGGGGGTGAGGCTTCATGCTGTGAAACTCCTTAATGGCCTCAACATGGAATTTCCACAAAATCAAAGAAGTTGGAGAGAGAGAGAGAGAGAGAGAGAGAGTTGATGGTTTGGTTGGTGAGGGAGGGAAAGAAAGTGAGGGAAGGAAGTGGGGAGTGCTCCAATTAGAGAGAATATGCAGGCAAGGAAACTGAGAGTGACAGTGAGAGTGAGAGTGAAGGAGAAGCATTGGCACGTGCCGGTCATGCGGGATAGCCAGTGAGCAAAGACAACAGAGAGAGAGAGAGAGAGAGAGAGAGAAGGGTGTACGGTGTACAGTATCGAAGAGTTAGGCTCGAGAGAGAGAGAGAGAGAGTCCAAAGAGTCAGGGGAAGAGGTCCCCACTACACTACAACTAGGGCCACTACGACTACTCTGGTCTCTGCAACACTGAACCCCGCCAAAAAAGATGAACGTGTGTACGTTAACAGTTCCCTCCCATACCCAAAAAACGAAAGAAAGAGAGAAACAGTAAGCCCAAGCTCCACGGTTACATGAAGAGGTATATACGCAAGAGAAGGAACCGCACGCTCTTTGATCAGGTTCGATGTTATTGTTGTGCAAGAAAACACCATGTTCCTTGAACAAAGATGCGATCGGGAGATTTGCCTTCATAAACTCGGCCCAGGTCACGTCTCTCTCTCTCCCGGAGAGAACCTACGGATTACCCCTCACCAAAATTCTATGGCAAATAACGTGTACTGGAGGAGTTCCGAATCGAATGCGTCGCCGAGGCACGAATTTGGCTTTACTTCCCCATTCGATACCGTTGCAATTACCAACCGCCTTACCGACTGTTATCATCTGTGAATTCAGGAAACAGCTTTAGATTTCAATTACTTCATCTGTGTGATAATTTTCGTCCGAGACGAATCCGGATGGCGTGACCGTTGCAGCTGCCCCAAAAGGCAAAAGCTCAGGTACAACCGTCTAATATGAATTACGTGCTGGTGACACTAATGTGCCTGTGCAATCAGACGATTTTGGCAAGGGAAAAAAAACTTCCGGAATCAAGCAGCAAAGTACTCAAACCAATCATAGTGGAAATTCGCAATTTATATCTATTTTCGGCCAGTCATATTGCCAGAAGGAAAAATTCACTAAGACCATGCTACAAAACTGATAACTGTAGATTACAAATTAGAAGTTAAGTCTTCTATTGAGATCGGGGAAGAAATAGGAAAAACCCTAGTACATGTGAAAGTGAGAGAATGAATAAGATGGAGGCTCCCCTCACCTCCACTTCTCTTGCAATTCTTTCCTCTCGGACCAGATCCACGTTACGAAGATTGCCGCGATGAGCGCGGCTATTGTCAAGAGAAGCAAAGCATAGCTGAAGTCGTCGGTGAGTGAATCATAGGTCCTTGACGGTGCAAGCCGGGTGAAAAAGAGATCAACGCCGTACGTGAAGACAAGGGTCGTTGACTCCAGCTTTGCAGGTACCGTAACTATGCCTCGAAGACCTTCAACTTTAAGGGCATGTGTCACATAAGACTGCACAAGAGAGTATACAGTAAGTCCAAGGGCTCACAGAAATCGAGTGCCAGAGTAAGGGATGATAAATAAGTGTTCGAAGAACCAGAACTTTGCATCAAGTATTTACTAAACAAGAATGAGGGTACTATTACTTCCGGTGCCTAGGATGCTGTCAATATCTAAGTTGTAATCCTGCCATTCCTCTCCACCATGTTGACCTCTCTCGAGAATTATACTCCATGCTAAGAAGCTCAAAATTGACCCCAAATACACATGCCGTGTAAACACGCAGAGAAGAAATTAAAATGATTTAGATGTTAGTTTGTCACTGCATAAGAATAAGCCATACAATCTATTTGATATGCAACTTCTGTTCAGCAAACAAAAAATTGATTTAAAACTTTCTACGAGACTCAGCCCGGTTGACTAGTGTGAAATTCCTAACATCAATTTGAGTTGCACGTTTGTAGTACCGTACTTTACCACAAGCTGAAGATCGCTGTCCATTTTATAACTATATATCAATTGCTTATATTTGCTGTTAATTTTATGAAGGGATAATGACACAAACGGTCCCTGAACTTTGGCCCAACGTGCAATGTGGTCCCTGAACTCTTAATTTGTCCAGGGACCACATTGAACAAATTAAAAATTCAGGGACCACGTTAAACATTAGGCTAAAGTTCAGGGACTACATTGAACAAATTAAGAGTTCATGGACCACATTGCACATTGGGCCAAACTTCAAGAACCGTTTGCGTCATTATCCCTTTTGGTGAAAGTGAATTCTACTACAAAAACACTCCTTATGAGACTCAGAAAACGGCAAAGAAAATCAGATATTCAACCTCCATACATATTACTCTCTACTTATGCTAATGGTTATACTCATAATTAATGCGATACATACAGAAGAAGAAAGTTCGCTCATTCATCTATCAGAAATAATGAACAATAGTTCAAGACAATTACAGCTAACATACAGCACCTGAGGTATAATTGGGAGAGAATCCGTGAGGGGTATAATTCCTTCTTCTTTCTCAGCTTGTGTAGGATTAACAGTACGCCGAGGATCTAAATATCGCTTATCCAAAGCCAATACCTGAACAGGAACAGCAGGCATTTGATACAAAGCCTTATAAGCATATTCACCTTCAGATGTGCACATATGTGTGAGCTCTTTTAGGGTGTGAAAAGAAAAAAAATACGGTAACTCTTTTAGCCTACCTGATCACCAATTGTACCGATTAGAAGCTGCTTTGAAGTTATGCCTTTGGCAGTTGATGTCACAGTTATAGCTTTCACTGAGTGAGTAAAAAAGTAAGACTGTGATTTTGCTATAACCTCTGGCCGAGAATACGAAGATACAGGTGAAGTAAGATTATGTTTCCCAACAACTAGCTTCAAAACGTCTTTGTTATCCTGTAGCATATATCAGTACAATATAAAGTTAAGTTCGCACGAGGAACTATAAAATATTTGCACAGAACAACATGTTCAGGAAATTACCGCTCGAGACTGATCATAAATCTCGACAACTGACATTTCATATCTGTGTGCTCTGAGATTAAAATAGTGGTAGACAACCCAGTTCTCGCTAAAAACCTGGAACAAAAGTACATACGTAAGGAGCCATATTTTTCAGTGATGGAACCAACTAAAAGAAATGACAGAAAGCTTACAGCATGGACTGGAGCTTGTGAGCCCTGATGAGTCATGCGGTGCAATATACGACCAGTTATGGTATCAATAAGATACACTACCAGCGATGACTCCTCGGGGGTCGCTGATCCAATTTCACCGCTACCTTTTGGTGCAGTTGTTGCCAGAAACAGTAGATTTCTTGATATATACTTGTACATCACATCTTGGTCACCTATCAACTTTGCCTGAGTGTGAACCACCTAGATAACCCACGAAAAGAAGTAAAACAATAAATATACAGCAGCAGAGAACCGCCTCAACATGAAACAGAGCAAAGAATGAGAGCATGAGCAATAGGGAAGGCCACGGAAACAGTTGTTCAGATTAGATGGTTAAGAAATGACCATGTCCAACAGTGGGATATACATTGTGCGTGTTTGTATTTCTGTTTCTGCACACATGTAAGTATGACAGTCCCCCTTCCTGGAATAAGGCCTATTTTTTGTTTTTGTTTTTGGTCAAAGATTACTCATAAATCAAGTATCAGCAGAAAGACAAGGCATAGAAAAAATGCAGAATGCCAATGCTTCCACGAATGATATTAACACCAGAGTCATATTAACAGAATGTGAAATAAATTCAACCAGCTGAGCTAAAACACATTTTCATGAGCCAGCCACATATATCATTTCCCACAACTCCAATAAATAGGGTAAGGTATCCACACTACATCTTCTTGCTAATTCTCAACTATAAGTAATTAAAGCTGTCTTACCTCGTTTACTTTACGTGTCCCCGTTGCAACAATCTTTTCTGATTCTGCAGGGAGTACAACTGACCATAAGTCTTTGGGACCAAAACAGTATTCATCCTCTTCATCATGACTACAAGAACCCTTAGATACATGCCCCCTGATGATGCCATTATCAGCTTCAACTGAATACCAGTAAATATTCGAGATTTCAGGACGGAAGATACTTAAAGCCTCTGTAGATCTAGGGTATAGGTGCGCTTGCTGGTTTGCATCTACAAGTAAATGAAGACGCTGTTCTGTTGAATCTGTCAATGGCAGAGGAATAACTTGCACTATAGAATGTATAGGAACCAAAGAATTGAGCTCCTCGCCCGTGTAGGTATCAATGAAAGAGAGAAGGCCTGGTGCATCATCACTTGGTCCACACCGACCAACAACGAGAACAGATGGATTCTCATCCATCGCATGATGATGAGGAACCTGCCATGGATAAATACGGAGCCCAGTTGGATAAACACACTCCCCAGATTTATGGAGTGATTGTACGAAGAGAGACCAAACAATCCTTCCATCTCCTGTGTGCAATGCAAAGACTTTGCCAGCCCCAGTAAGCACTATGAGCAACTTGCGGAAACCATTGTGGTCTCTGGTCATTTTGCTCTTCTCGGAGCTTTTCAACCTCATCTTTTGTATTGCTGCTACATCCTCGGGGCTTGCAAGCATCAAAGTCCCCTTGAGCTTCAGAATGTGCCCCTTTGGGTTTTGGGAGAAAAGAAGACCATCAGAAAAAAAGAATACACAAAAAGATATATTCTCAAGATAATTTAAAAGTTCTTCACAGCATTGATCATCAAGCCCCCTTCTCTTTCTTTTTTTTGTTTTCGAAAAACAAGCAAGCAAAGGGGCAATGCCATAAGGTAGGAATAGAACCCAAGACGGTCTAGGTAAGGAAAGATGACCACTGGGCCGATCCCTGGTTCCTCCATCAAAACGCCCTTACTATAAGGAGAATCTACATGTAGGGTAATATTGGGATTCAATTTTTCCAAAACAAATTTGCAAACGAGTTTGGTGCATCTAAATGGGGCAAACATTTCATCTTTTACATAATATACATACCTTAAGCCATTCGAAGAGATTCTGTTCCACTTTTGATACTGAAACGCCATCTTTTTCCACAGGTAGTTCTGAGGTTGTTACATCTATCACTGATGCAAGGCCATCCTCCCTAGACCAAACTATCTCACCCTGTTGGATCAATAATAATGAATGATCTTCCATGACAATTAAGGCCCTAAACCCATGAGACCTGTCTGTCCTAACATAGTTGTTTATGAAGACCTTATGGACCAGACCTCTATGGTTATTGATCTTAATGGTCTCCTTCAGCAAATCCATATTCCAGTCATGAACAGGTTTCACGACAACGTGGAGCTTCTCATTTTCATGTCGAATGAGTGCAAAAGCCTGCTGGCTCTCTGATAATGAAATAGCATCACTGAGAGCTGCTGCTTCCGTAATTTTTTCAACCAGCTCCACGTTTCCTCCATCGGTCACTCTGGCAAGGGCTAGGAACTTATTTGTTTTCAGAGCAAACATATTAGCAAGCTTGGAAGGTAATATCTCTACCACCCCGTGAGAATCATCAACTAAACTCGAGATCTGTGTCTTTTGATAGTTGATTTCTCCATCTTGGAAGAATATCGTTAGTAAAACTGATCTAGTGGCATCCAATGCCACAAGTACTTCATCTGAAACTAGCACTGTATCCCCAGAAAAGCCACCAGGAAAATCTACATTTACATGCTTTATCTCGTCTCCCTTTCTGGGGTTGATTTGATATGCATGAAACTGGGAAGATTGAAGATATCCTAGAACACGTACAGTCTCCTCTCCAGGAGACTGGACAACCTGCTGAACCTCTAAGCTATAAAGAGGAACAGAGAAAGAAAAAAAGATCATCCATTTGTTCAATTCAGCGAAAAGCACATACAGGAAAGACCAATAAACCGAACCTTTCAGCGGCAAAATCCTTTCTCCAAATAATTTCACCATCAACACTAGAAACAGCATGGAGACACCCTTCGGCAAAAGCAAAAATCAAATTTTCCTTATCAACTCTGAAACTTGTCTGCATAAGATGGCTCTATATATCAGTAATGAACAAAATAGCATCACAACAGTATAAGATCAAAGCAGTGATGCGAGGTAAATTAACATTAGCATTATTATTATTTTACAATTATTGTTATTAGTATGGCACCCTATATTTCTGCCAAGTGTAAAGGTATTCACATTACAATGTTATTAATATGACTATTTCGAAGATAGATAGACAGCAACGGGGCTAATATGTGGCTCCATAACCCTCTTCAAAAGGGTATGCTAGATAACAGACGTATAGACTTTCTGTTTTCTAGCATCTTCTTTCATAATGATCAAGGCTGAAAAGCCCAGAGTACCGTATTGAACATAGCATACCAATAACTAAATTGTAAGCATGAACAGCTTAACCTCAATGGCAGGTACATCTTCGATTCAAACGGAAAAAGAAATAACAATTGAAAATGTTAATGGAAAATTCTGCTGCATCAAGATGATAGTCACATACTGGCACGATTAACATTGTCTTTGAGGGGTTTGAGCCTTTCAAAACGGACTCCCAAACTAATTGTCCGTCAGGAAGATTCCAAGCTCTTAGAATACTTCCCCCAGATGATAGGGTAATGACATCTGCCAAAAACGAAGACAGAAGCACAATAAGTATACACTATCATAAAGTGAAGCCAGCAGGCATTAGCCTGTAATGGCAAATGGTTGCAGACGAGCTACGGACAACGAGAATGGAAAACTGGAATGAAGAGATACATTTGTGTCAAAAGCAATAGAGCTGTTAAAATGATTAATTAAGTAACCTTTGCACGCCATTATCAGATTTAAGGAACCTACTCTATCGAACAAGAAACAGGATCCCACCCTTTAAGTCCAGAAACTTTGTTTCAAGTTGTAGCCACTAAGGTAGAACTATTTTTATCTAACAATGGAATTGATGACCCTGCTAACCAGAGTATCCTATGATGCGGGTGGACTTACCTAACGCTGCTATATGGAAAACTACAGGTAGAAAAGAATTATAAACTTCTATGTCATCAGTCAACTTGAGTGTCTGGAAAAATAGCTCTTGCTGTTGGGTCATTCTGCTCTTGTTCTCTTTGAATAACTTGTTTTCTTCATTAAAAAGAAATGAAACAATGACAAATCTTAACTTATACAACAGTGAATTCATATTACCGGATGCGACAGGCTAAACTGCAACACATAACAAAACAAGTAGGCGAGCTACTTATAGAAAAACCCGAATACCCAAAAGAAGGAGAAACTCAGTTAGCTCAAAGAAATACCACAAGCAAATATAGGAATTGACTTGTTTAGAATGGAGTTTAGAGAAAACGATGAAAAACAACATAAAAGGCAAAAGACATAGCCATTGTACATTTTCCAAGAGCAATATCAATTCCATCAATGGCATCATCAGCACCGAGAACATGTCTCCAATCTGCAAACAAACATTGCGCAAGAGACATAAGTTTCATAAAATAAAATCCAAGTACCAGACCAGAGTAAGTGTGTCAAAATTAGAAGTCTTCTTAAACATCAGTTGGTCTTCTTTTGCCAATAGAAGTTACAAACCGTGTCGAATTACAGATAGCCCCTCCACATGAATAAATGACATTGGATTTTGTCCATGATGAGGAGTACTCACATATATCACCATGGCGGAGATCAAGCGATGCTATGACATTCTGCTCCGTTGACACCACGACGCGCTTTCGGCCAGCCTTCTGAGTGTGAAACACCGCGTGCTTGACCTTCCCAATGTACTTTTGATGCCTAAGATTATCAATTCGCAAGTAAAATTAAATTAAATCAATAAGCCAGGTGCTGATCATGTATGGCACACTGCATTTTTAGACCGCAAGCCACTAACAAAGGTACGACAAAAACTACCAACACTGGCGTCCACTTCCGCATCACCTACGCAACGCTGAAAACACCACCAATCACCACTCTCAACTTCGCATATCGATTTATCGATCAAAAGCCACATCTTCAGCTAGTTTTAACTATAAACTAGTGTCTTGCACGAGAAAATACATCAACCTATGCGTTCAACTCAGAGGATACCTCCCTCTACAATCAAAGCTGCCCGTAAACTGCGATTTCAGCTAACGCATGTCCGGTCTGAACCGCGTATATTTCGCATATCGATCAGAACCGACCTCGACAACATCCAAAAACCGACCTAATTCACAGACTCGATTCAAAAAGCACCACACGCCGCGGGAAATTCAGTAGCGGATTAACCGAGACGAAGCATCGCCACGGCACGGGCGAAGAATCGAGCGACTTCTAGCAGGTATGGAGGTCAAACGAACAGCAAGCCAAATCGAAATCCGCAGATTCTCCCATGGAAACGAGGCTTACCAGTCCATGAGGCCGACCTGATCTTCGTAGAGCGAGGAGACGAGGTTCGTGGACGACAGGAAGAGCGCGAGGAAGAGGACGAAGGTCCTGATCGCCATGGTTGCGCTGAGGCGACGTCGCGAGCTCGCTCTCTCTCTCTCTCTCCGCCTCTGTCTGTGCGACGAAGGGACGGATCTGAGAAGTCGAAGCGCAGCACTGTGGTTTCAGTTACGAGAGTTGAAAGGAAAAAGTACAAAGACGGCGAAATTATGAACGAGGCCTCAGCTTTTTGACTGAATATCACTTTGGACCCTGTACTTTAAACGACGTGGGATACGGTTGAGAAAACGCAAAACTCTACGAGAGCCGATGTGAAGAATTATATACAAAAAAATTGTATGTTAATCTATGTTTTGATATTTTGGGAAACAATGTAAGTTTAATTATATGATAAGTCCATCCCCGGCCTTTGTGGACCGGGCTCGAGTGCCGGGGACCCGGGCACGAGCGCCGGCATTCCTAACCCAACCTTTGTGGACCCGGGCTCGGACACTGTGAACCCGAGCCTGAGCGTTGGGGAACTAGGCTCAAGCACTGAGGTCTTGGGCCCGACCTCTTTGAAACCAAGGTTAGGCTGGCCCAGTGAACCCGACCTCGGCCTCTAGACCGCCCGCTACTAAAGACTCGATAATAGGTCTTAGGGTCTTGTGCTCAAGTGTAGAGTCTCTCATCCAAGTGCCAATGTCTAATCATATTTTGGGAAATAATTTTCGATTTTTTAAAGAGAAAATCATTTTTCTGAATTCAAGCATAATTTTCCGTTGGCTAATTTTACGCTAACTCATTTTGTTAAGCAATTCAAATGCCAAAAAATGAGAAAAATATTTATTGCAAAACACCCGAAGCCTAAAATCATATAAAATACTATGGGTAAATCCACATCTCAGAGACACAATGCAAATTGTTGCTCACTGTAATATGATTTTATCAGTATAGATTCACTTTCACAAATAAAAAAAAAACATAAGAGATTACTAATCTTTAATTCCTTCTTTAACTTGTCCGAGTATACTAGTTTTTTTCAATGCAAGAGTTTCAGACGGCCTATGTATAGGCATTTTTCGAGACGTTTATGAATGCAGCGTCATCGATCCAATTTATTATAAGTGCCATTTATATTTGAAATCACGATGGATCAAAAGATATTTAATTAGATATACGGCATCGCGGTAACGCGTCCGCATACACAAGCTATATAAAATACGTTCTCGCGTTTCACCGAATTAAAATTTTCAAATCGCAGGCAAAACAGAAAGCGCAACGATCGAAAACCTAACCTTGATATATTACCTCGTTCACTGCAGATAAGGAGCATAGAGTAAAATAATAATATTATATAATATTTAATTTGAGGAAGTTAACAAACCGTCGATATGTCCGAGTGGTTAAGGAGACAGACTCGAAATCTGTTGGGCTTTGCCTGCGCAGGTTCGAATCCTGCTGTCGACGATTTCCACCCCTCCCACACCCCCCCCCCCCTCCCTTTTTTTTTTCTTTTTTCATTTCCTTTGAGAATATAAGTTTCGACCCTTCTAAAATTCTTTTAATTCCTTTTTATTTCCTTCTAAAATTCTTTTAATTTCCCTTTTAGTTTTTTGGGTATCAATGCTTATCTTGAGAGCTACAAATCTCGAGATTGACCAAACTCTCCATGGCTTCAGCACAAGCGACTTTTGCTTCCATCTTGCAGGCGACCCAGAAAAGAATAAGTGCACCTCACTCCATTCCTCTCCCTAGTCCTGGCTTCCGAGCCTTCGTTGATCTCCATTCTTTTGGCCCTCTCGATCACAGTCCTCAAAGCACTGCTGCAACAGCATCAGTCTCGCCGATATGGTACCCAACTTGGACCTCATCCTCCTCGCGCTCCTCTACGGCACGTTCGTCGCCGGCGTCCTGGTCGCGGCGGTCCTCCTCGCCCTCGCCGGCCTCGCGCTGGCGTTCGCCGCGGGGCTGCTCTCGATCGTCGCCGTCGACTCGTGCTGCGCGCTCCGGCTGCTGTCCTCGGGTCTCGGCGCGGCGAAGGCCGACGTCGAGCTGGGCCTGGGCCTCCTCCTCTGCGCGGCGCTGCGATGCGGGGTTTCTGCTGCTTCTTCCCCGCCGAAGCTGTGGGCGGAGCGCGGGGTTCGGGCATCGACTGAAGCCGCGCGGCGGGCTCGAAGCCGTTTTTCGTGAATTCTCTGGGGACGTATCTCCTCTCCGGAAGCGCATGTATGTTGCGTTCGCTGCACGTCAAGATACATTTGTGATCGACTCTTGCTAATTATTCAAAGTCGACTCATGCCTCTGTTGGAAGGCTGTGAAGGTCTTGTAGCAGACAGTTTCTTCTAGGTGTGACGATAATATTCTTGCGCCGTCATATTCGTGTTGATCAATAGTGTTATTTCGTCTAATATGATGAAATAACTTTCGAGCAATAGTATCAGTTTGACAAGTTGTAGGGATCGCGATTTAAATTCCCCCGGCAATTATGAAATTATTAGGAGGCCATACATTAACGAAACCGGTTCATGTTCGTATGCTGCGGTCGTGGATAATGTCTATATATGTGTGTGATCCAGTCCAATCCTGAAGGGAAAAAATAGGAGTACGTAGGACACGCACATATATAATCATGACAGATAAAATACTGTTCACTCAATGTCCTATTATGACATATCAATCAGTATTTATTGTCCAATTACTTGTACTACCACTCACACATGATCTTATATGTAGATGTTGGCTTTCACATAGAAGGCACGACCTTTTCTTTTCCCAAATTGTAGAAGCCATATCTCTCTCTTCTAATCATTTCTCTTGACATGCTGCAACATTTTCCTTCCGAGTTTATATCCCATATTTTGTGTAAGCTTTCTTAACGTTGCGAATCACTTTGTAATTTTATTTTATCAAGTTATACCTCCCTTAAGTGCAGACTACCGCCCTTGCGGATGGTTTCACTTTTATATCGCAATTTAAATATCATTACGTACCTCTCTTGAGTGCATATTATCGCCCTTACGGATGGTTTTTCTTTTTTATATTGCAATTTAAATAGCAATACTTATCATTTTATAAATCGCCTTACCTTTCCTTCTTGCTTATTTATGAATCGCTTAGTAACTCTTTTTATTTTTCTTTGTGTTAGGTTATGTTTGCATAATCATTTTAGAATACCTAGCTTTTATATTTTAGAACTTAATTTTTATCTTCCCTTAATAGATTTCGATTTTCTTATCTCCTTTCTTTAAATCACAAACATAGACGTTTTTAGGATATCATCAACATTTTAGCCATCTTGTCATATCACTTCTAAGTTTAAATATCTTCTTTATATAGATCCCGAGGTCCTCGAGTCATTATGGTATTAGAGAAAAAGAGGATTATATATATAACACAATCAAACACGTCTTTGTCGAAAATATTAAAATTAAAATATACACGACATAATGCACACAATTTATATGGGTAGTCCATACCACAAAAAACCATAAATTAGTACCACTTGAACACATATATCCCAAACTATTTATGAACCTATAAAAACACTCAAAGTGGTACTGTTTGGACAAATTTATCTCCCACTTACACGTCCGTCCCAATTGGCTGTTAAACACCGTACGTGTGAACCGAGGTCGAAAATTAAACTTGCGAAGTAATTGGACGCGGAAAATAAATCATACTTGTTGCAGATGCGGCAAGAAATGTTGCTTTGTACTGGATTGGAAATGATGTGTAACTAGATTTAACTAGACATTGATGTAAGTACTTTGCTGCCGATTTTCAGATGATGTGACTAGATGGGGATACGTGACCTTGCTGGTTTCGATGTTGCTGTTGAACCAGGATGCTGGTTTCTTGATGCTCATGATTCAAGTCCCAAGTGTTGATGTTGCTGTCGAATCAGAATGCAAGTTTCGATACTGTTCATGACAGATGAAAGCTGAAAGTTATATTTTCTTGCAGGTTTTGCTTATCAGTGGCGAACCAGGTAATGGACCTGCGTGTGCTGTGCAGTCCGTGCCTAGAATTATACTTAAGAAAACGGTATTCAGTAAAGCCAAGCCATTCAGAGTCACTCGGCAGAGCTATTCGCCACACATTCATTTACTACATCAATTACTGCAGCAATGTCATTCAAGTTCATAATTCCGATAAGATATTTAGACCTCCAAATCGATATTATTTTTACTTATCGGTAGGATTGTCAAAATGGGTAATAAACCCAAATCTTAATCTATATTTATGAAAATGGGTCATAAGTGGGCCAGCCTAATTTTAAAATATGGGTCAACATGGGTTCTAAAGAAAAAAGGCCCAAAAAATATGAGTTTTAATGGGTTGAGCAACAAACCCACTTTCAACCCAGCTTGACTCCATGTCCTCTCTTCTCTCTCATTGGAATCTAGGGTATGCACGGTCCAGGTGGGCGGTTTCCACCCCGGAACCGTGGACCGCCCGCTACAGGATCGGTTCCAAAAATTGGAACCGAGAACCGCCCGTCGGTTCCATGGACCCGCCTGAGAACCGGACCGTCGGTCCGGTCCGGTTCTTGGGCGGGTCCATGGAACCGGTCCCAACAAGTTTTCCTGGACAAATAAAAAAAAAATCTGTGGACCAACATCGGATCAACAGAACAAAAGGAAAAGAACATAACTTTTCATACAATTCCTATACTATGATCGATTATATTAACAACATCATCCATAAATCAAGTGGGCGTCCATTAATTATTGGGAAAAATGATCAAGGTATCCCAATTACACAAGAGCTTCAGACATGATAATAAATTTTCTTCTTTTTTTAAATTTTTTTTTGGTCAGATTTTTTTAATTAAAAATTTTAAAAAATAAAATATATTATTATTATATTACCGGTCCAGTCCGGGTGGGTGGTTCCACACCGGGAACCGGCCCAAATAGTACTGGTTCCAAAAAATTGGAACCGGGAACCGGACCGGTTCCCTTGGGAACCACCGGTTCCGGGCGGTCCGGGCGGGTCCCGGTTCTTTTGCACACCCCTACTGGAATCTCGCCGCCCCCTCTCCGTTTCTTCCGTCCCTCCGCTTCCTATCGTCTTCTGGTTTCCCTCATCGCCGCCGCCGCGAGTCTCCATCCCCGACCGGACGCCATCGCAGCAACCGCAATCCCCTCGAGCGAAGCCACTGCGTGGTGACGCCGCCATGCCGCAAGTGGAGGAGCAGTTGCCCGCGAGCCCGGTGCGGGACACTTTCATCGAGCTCGTCGAGGGAGGAGGCACGTCAACTGGCCGTGGAGCCCGGTCGTCCCCGTCAATGACCCTACTTTGCTCTTCGCCAATGCAGTTGTTGCGATTTCCTGTGATTGGGACTCAGCTCAGTTTCGCCTTCGTTGCCTTATTTGTGAAGATTCTTGTTACTTTTGCGAAGTTCTCGGAGCAATTTTGCTTTGCTGAACTTTGGGATTGCTGCGTTGTAGAGTGGGGCTCTGTGAGGAGGCTTTGATTGGATATTGCGAAATGTAGGAAAATGGTGTTTTGCCAGATAATTTCATGGTCCCGAATTCGTTGAAGGCTTGTGGGGCCTAGATGTGGATTGGGTTTGATAAAGGGGATCATGGATATGTGGAGAAGATGGGTCTTGGTGGATGTGTTTTTGTGGCAAGTAGTGTCTCATTGATTTTTACGGGGAGTGGAGGCTGTCGTAGGACGCATGGAAGGTGTTTGATTCTATACCTAAGAGAAATGTGGTCGCTTGGAACTTTATTTTAGTGGCTATGTTTAGAATGGGACGAATGAGGAAGCGATCGATGTGCTCTATGATATGAGAGTCGAAGGTATCTAGCTCACACGATTAACTATGTCGGGCTATCTTTCGGAGTCAACAAATATAGGAACTTATGATCCTCGGTTCGATCCTTGAAAACGTCTGAACCATTCATAGGATTAGAACCGCATAACTTGCTTGAGTGGAAGTGGATTTTGGAAAATGAGTTAAAATATGGGTCACTTTTGACTTTTTATTTTTTCTCGGACTCATTTATAACCTATTTAGAAAAAAATGAGTTACCCATATGAAGTTGGGCTCATTAAAATTAAGTAACAAATGATTTGGAACCCATTTTCCCAGTCTTTCTTTATACTAAGTATTTCAATTTATAGGTTTTTCGCATATTTTATTTACTAAAATTTTTATTGTTTAATTTGCTTTTTTAATTTGATGCGAAGTTTTATTTTTGTAAAATATACATGTGAAGAGGTTAGAGTGAGTTAAATAGGTGGGTATAGGTTTCCGTAAAATATTAATGTGTTCTGGTAATATGGGTCAGGTCGGGTATGGATCACTATTTGCATTACATGAAAATGGGTTAAAATGGGTCAATATAAGTCTGACCATATTTGACTTGACCCAAACTCGACCCGATCCACCCATTTGACGGCCCTACTTATGAGTGAGCGAAAGAATCGGACCGAACTAATTTAAACACCAAAAGCATAGCCGGACGATAGATCTTCTCATTTACTTCCAATTTCACCACTTTCATCTATAAATATGTTGTTTTGTGAGGTTCAAGTGTGTCCAATCACGTCAGTACACATCGAATTCTCAAACATTGGCCTTCCATATCGTATAAGGCAGAAAGTGTAAGGTTCTCTTTATTTTACGAAAAATAAATAATTTAGATAATATTTTTCTAAAATTATTGTTTGCATCGCTTTAAAATATACGTGAACAAAAAATATTTTCATTATTCACAAAAATATTTAGATATAAATAATTATTGATAATGAAAATAGTTTTTATTTTGAAAATTATTGCAAAAAATATAAACGACAGTGACTGCTACAGTACCATCGTACCTTGCTACAGTATTTTGCTACGGTACGGCAACAACCAAAAGGGTTATTGGCAACATTATCCAAGGAAAAGAAAATTGCCAAATTGGTGGGCCACTGCGGCGCGGCAGCAGATGCAACGTCCATTTTTTTACGAAATAAAACAATTTAGCAATTTTGGCGGTATTTGTCCCGATTGAAAAATAGACCAATAGCAAGAAGACCAGTCAAAATCTCGCAAATAGCTTCGATTCCCACGTGGACAAAAGTACAAAAACCCATGTAGGATTTTTCCGCACGCCACGTGAGCGGTTGGTGTGCGCCCAATCCACACGCACCGTTAGATGGATAGCCTCTCCCGCAAAGAGCCGTACGATCTAACGGCTCGCGCGAACTCGCGGACCCACCAAACCCAAATCCCCCGTCGTCTTCTTCCTCCTCAATTTAACCGCCACGTGCCGTCCTGTCGTCCACTTGTTCACCTTGCAGCCTGAAACACCACACTACACGCAAACACCATCATCTCAGGAAGAACTGCAGAAGATCCTCCTCCTTCTCTCCGCAATCGATCGCTCCTCGACCGCGGCCAGGCTCCGATGGAAGCGACCTCGATCGTGCTCTGCGATGTCCGCCACTTCGCGCCGAGGCGGCGCGGCTTCCGGTCGACCGGCCCTGATCTCAGCCGGGGCCGGTGTCGGTGCCCATCGCCGAGGCCGGGCTCGCTCAGGCTAGGGCCGCGGAGGAGCTCCAAAGCCGTCGTTCTCGCGTCCGCCTCCGTGGGCGACGCTTACGGCTCCTCGTCGACGCTCGACCGGAGAGAGGCGGAGAGCGACAAGACGGCTTCCTCCGCGCCGTCTTCTCCTCGTCCTCCCGCCTCCGCGGGCCCCGTTTACGTGCCCACGCCGCCGAATCGAGAGTCGCGGACTCCTCACAGCGGGTAAATCGCGCGGCGTTAGGGTCGTGTCTGTTGTTGTTGTTGCTTTTCTGTGGTCGAAGTTGTGGTTGGAGTGTGAGGTGCTTGCTTGTGCTGGAGGGGATTCGGGTAAATCTGATTGAGGCTTTTTGCCTGTTCTAGGTGCCGCGTTTGATTGAACTAGCATCTCGGAGTCGTAGATATCATAATATGCTTTTGCTTCCTCGAGCTCCAGTACATTGGTTTTCAGGATCTTCGTGAATGATTTTAATAGTTTATAACCATTGCTTTGTTGAGATGCTATTTGATGAATCTGTCGCTTATTGAATTAGGTACCATTTTGATGGGAGTAGCCGGAAATTTTTTGAAGGATGGTACTTTAAAGTGTCTATTCCTGAGAGGAGACAGAGCTTCTGCTTCATGTACTCTGTGGAAAATCCTGCATTTCCCAAGAAGCTCAGTGCTTTAGAAGTGGCACAGTATGGATCTCGATATACTGGAGTTGGTGCACAAATTCTTGGTGCTGATGACAAGTATATTTGCCAATTCTCCGAGGAATCTGCCAACTTTTGGGGAAGTAAGGCTTTGATGTTTCGTACAGTAATTCTTGATACGGAGTATGCGCTAATAGTGTACGCTCACCCGGCAAAAGCAGTACTTTTGCTGTCAACTTTGTCAAGATCTGCCTTTAACGTATATGCCTTTAAAATAGAGACATCTTATACTCAATAAAGAGTGGAAATTGGTAAGCTAGTAAACTGTGCTTTTTTCAATTACTAGATGGGGAGCTATTATTCGACAAAAAAAAAAAAGATGGGGAGCTATTTAAGCTCTCAACATGGTTTTTGGATGAATAGTGGAGTGATTTATGGTTTACTAATAGGAAACAACTTTGGCTTGTGATTACCCATAATTCACCTAGGTAGAGCCCTTTGGACCTGCTCTTAGCCTGTAAACTTGGGGTCTTATGCAGAAAAACTGGCTATGATCTCCTGCTGACTTAACACATGACAAACCCCACGCGCAATAACATGCAAGCAGCACTCTGCTTGAACTGGCTGTGAGCTTTTTAATAGTGCACCAAAGTATATGAATACTGGAGAAAAGGAATAGCACTTTGGACCTTTGCTGTTGCTTCAAGGGTGATCCCATACTTCCCTTTCCATCTAGGAAGACAAAGATCAGAATTTTAAGTTGTCTTTATTTAAATTTGGATTTCTGTATCTCACACATGGTCTGCGTGCACTGTAATCTATTATATCGCACTATCTTCTTTGAATTATGTTATTTTTATTCCGTTATATTTCAGGTCTATTCTGATTCTCTGTTTGGGATTGTCTCATTTTTTTGGGTTGAATTGATTGTCTTCTTCACTCTTCAGGCAATGATGTCATGTGTCATACCAACTGTTTTCTAATGGCTTGCTTTTCAATGCTTAGGTAGGCACGAGCTTGTATTGGGGAATACTTTTATGGCTGAAAAAGATGCGAAGCCTCCGAACCAGGAGGTTCCTCCTCAGGTACTCTTTTTTCACTGGGGTTCATCAATTCTGCAAAACTTCTATCATTTGTGATTTATTCTCGCTTTAAGGTTTCATGACAAGTTAAAAGAGGACGTCGGGACTTTCTTCCTTATTTAGTTTTCTTTTTCTTCAGTTTAGTTGAAGGCCAAATTATAATATTGACTTTGCCATTGTAGTATGACTTTTTAGTCTTGCAATATTTCTGATAGAGGATGTTCTTTCTAAGGTACTGTTGTTTGATTAAATTCCTCGAGTTTGCAAAGGTTTAATTAATTTTTTTACACTCTCTTAGTTTGTAATGACATTTTAAAAGAGGATGCTGGAAGTAAATTTTTTCGTCGAGTAAATTTTTTATTCCTCTAATATTGTCTTCTGTCTAGCTCCCCTCCTTACTGGCTCTGATGAGTGATGATCCTAGAGAAAAATGCTGGTGAAAAGTGGAGCGAAATGGATGTCTTCATTATATGCATGGCACTTAATATTTTTGCTTTGCACAGGATTTTAATAGAAGGGTGGCGGAAGGGTTTCAAGTCAGCCCACTTTGGCATCAAGGTTTCATACGAGATGATGGCAGGTTGTTATTCTGCTTTTCCATTGCTTTTGTCTTGATATTTACTGGTTTAAATCCAGCTGCTTGTTAGATCGTCCATCATGCATTGGACACAATACCCTTATATTGCACGAAATGCAATTTACATTTTTGGATTTCCAAAGCACAATTCCTATGAGCTTTCGATCATTCTGGACAGATTGATAGAAAGTGATGGTTATAGCTATTTGTAAGGGACAGAGGAATTATAGAATGATCTAAGGAAATGGCTAGCCTATGCTTGTAGCAGATTTGTAATATTCCATGTTCTACAGAGCAATTTGTTCTTGACTTGTTTCATCGGTATCTTTCTATGTTTTAATTGACGTAGGTCTATCATTCCGAAAACAAAAAAAAAAGGTGAGGGATTCAATCTGCTAGATAGTACTTTAGTCTTGACTATGACTGTTCTTTATCAGTTTCACTGTCTGCCTAATATCTGTCTTTCTCACAGGACCTAGATTCTAATGACAGGTCAAACTATGTGAAAACTGTGAAAACTGCACGTTGGGAGTATAGTACCCGCCCTGTCTTTGGATGGGGCAATGTTGGATCACAACAGAAGTCAACCGCGGGGTGGTTAGCAGCTTTTCCTGTATTCGAACCCCATTGGCAAATTTGCATGGCAGGCGGGCTGTCAACTGGTTAGAATCTAGTCTTTAACCTTTTAAAGTTGATATGTTTGACAGATTGGCCCATTCTCTTGATGTTGTTTATTGTTCTAATAAATGTTTAAACTCAAGTGTCGTTCTAATGGTTTTCTGTTTGTACTGACTGAATCAGAAGTTGTGTTTTGTGGCTATATTCATACATCCAGTTCTCAATTCAGGACTCTCGAATCTGTAGGTTCAACAATGAGGGATTACCATGTTAAACTCTTGTCAGAAAGGAACAGGCTTTATATGTACCTTGACTATGAATCTGATTCAAGGACCATTTCTTTTCTGATAGGCATATGGAAAGTTATAGGAACAGTATTGACTAATAGAACCAGCAAGTTTAGAAAGAGTTTTACTTTCTGTTGTTCTGATAAAACACAATTTCTAAATTTAATCATAGTGATTGATCCTTTAAGTTGAAGGATCGATAACCATGACAGAGTAGAGCTTCTACAAACTTAATGATGTAAAGTGATATGGATGTGATCATCATGCTATCCTCATTCTATGTTTATTTCGATGTTTTTTAAGTTGTTCATGGTGTTGAAGCAGTTACTTGTCATAAAAATCTGAACCCTCCCTTGGTTATTAGAGGGACATATGAAGGGTTGAATAATCTTTTGACTGTGCATAATGTGATGCTTTATCCTTGGGACGTTCTTCATTTTGTTGCACTATAAACTGTAACTAACTATAGCAATCAAATGCTCCTTTTTGCATGTATTATTTTTATTTTGCTTGTAGTAGCGTTGGAATGGTAGATTCATTAGTATTTGGAATTTGTTCGGTATCCTGGTTCTTGCTCATGCATTTCACTGACATTTTCCTTCGAACCTTTCCTTTTGTATTTCTAGGTTGGATAGAATGGGAAGGAGAAAGATTTGAGTTCCAAGATGCGCCTTCTTATTCAGAAAAGAATTGGGGTGGGGCCTTCCCAAGGAAGTGGTTTTGGGTAAGTATTTCACATCGTCCTTTTGACTAGAGCCAAAAAGAGAGGAGAGGTCAGCTCATTTAGTTGATTATTTATCCTGTCTCCGTTGCATAGATGGACTATGTGGGTAAGTTAGGCTTCGGCCGTATTTCCTAATTATGGGACTGGCTTTGAGAGCATCCCTCTTTTCTTATGAAGTTGACAGCTGCAAGAAAAAACAAGATGCAGAATGGATATCTGCTGGCAGTTGTATGTCGATAAATAGCGCTGTAGAAACTCTCTTGGTGATAAAACTAACTTCCTCATTGGGCCAATTGGCAAAATGGATCTGAATTAACTAATATTGTAAGCTTCTAAAAAGGAGCCTTCCATCTTAGGCTTTGACTAGATGCTGCTTCTTATCCTGGCACTGAAGTGATGTCATCATGTGGTCTGCCTAATTGTTTTAATTTGGAGCTTCTTTATTGGCCTCTTTATACAGGTTCAGTGTAACATCTTTGAAGGTGCAAGTGGAGAAGTTGCTCTGACTGCTGCTGGTGGTTTGAGGCAGCTACCTGGACTAACCGAGACGTTTGAAAATGCGGCTCTGGTACTTTTCCCCTGGGATCTAAAATCTGTTTAAATGTCTGTATGGTTAACCAGAAAAAAAGAACAAAAGAAAGAGGAGGAATCACTGACTAGAATGAAAATAAAAAAGAACAGCAGTCTTGGGAAAATGGCCCTGATGGCCTTTCAGTTTGTAAAAAAACAGGGGACGATATCTGCAATGAACCCATGGTAATGGCATGTTTCAATCCCTTAGATTCTATTTTCACTAGAGCTTTCTTGGACTACACATAGGAGAGTTGGGATGGTGATGGTGAAAATCTGGTTTTATCAATACCCATTTTCTCGTTTAGAGTGTTGTCCCCTAATATGTTTTTGGATGTGGGTTTTGTTAGGGAGTGAACTTCAGAATGAGAGATCTCTTCTCATGATGTATCATCCTTCTTTCTCCTGTTGCAGATTGGAGTTCACTATGATGGGATTTTCTATGAATTTGTGCCTTGGAATGGCCATGCCAGCTGGGAAGTTGCTCCATGGGGCTCCTGGTACATGGAAGCAGAAAATGAGACTCACAAGGTAAATATAGTTTTCTGTTATAGCTTATACAATTGTAATGTAGAGTCTCTCGCCACAACCATGACTAAGGCACTTAAGAGGGCCAAAGGTGTGTTGAAGGCTGTTATAGTTTTCATCTTGTGTAAAGTCCTAAACTTTATGCAGAAATTGCTTTGTATTGTCCGGCAGCACATGCCTGTTTAACAGTATGTGCATTTGTCGTAAATTGGCTTTAGACCTTCTTGGCAAGAACAACGTATCTGATTGTGATAAGTAAAGTGAAGTGAGCAGAATTTGTTGATTCTTTGCAGGTTGTAGTGGAGGCAACAACAAAGGATCCTGGTACGCCATTGCGTGCTCCGACTGCAGAGGCTGGCCTTGCTCCAGCTTGTAAAGATTCTTGTTTTGGTGATCTAAAGCTGCAGATATGGGAACGGAGATATGATGGAAGTAAGGGAAAGGTGTGTTTCATATTTTAGACTGATCATCCTCAATTGAAGTAGCAACGCTGTTAACATTTCACTTTGTGCTATAAAATCGATTCTGCATCGTTAACTGATTCTAGAACCTCCTCTTATATGGAAGCCTCCAACACCAATAGTTATGGACAGTTAAATGTAAGTTTTGCATCTCTGCAAATTTTCTTGTTTAACCGAATAATATAATGGGAGTGTCATAAGATATTCCTCGGCATTGCAGTACGGAAGGGATCAAAGATAAATCCTCTTGTATATTGTTAAGTACTTCATCCAAATAATATGTCTTGCAATTTCATCATCCTAAGAGTTAGCAGGGCTAAGGCTATCTTCCTCCCATTTGATGGCCTAGCTGTTGGAAAAAATGAGAGATATGAACGTATGAACTCTTGGCAATAACTGTTGGTAGAGTCCTTTTGGGTGTAGATAATATTACCAACTCCGTAAGGCGAAGAACAACAAAAACCCCTGGAAAAGTGACATTTGTCTTAGTTCAATGCCCGGCAGAAAAGTGAGTTATGCCAAAAAATGGGGAAGTGAATCTGGGACCAATTCAATTAAAATCATTGGTTTGAATGGTTGAACTAATCTTTCCTATATTTCGCTCCATAAAGTTCGTTTATGTCAACTCCGGGCATTCCAGCTCTCGATCCCGTACCATACGGTTTGTTTTCTTTTTTTGTAAGTTGGAAGATACGATCTGCAGGTGATCTTGGACGTGACGAGCAGCATGGCGGCGGTGGAAGTTGGAGGAGGGCCGTGGTTCAACACTTGGAAAGGCAAGACCTCCACGCCGGAGCTTCTGAGTCGCGCTTTACGCGTTCCCGTTGATGTCGATGGGTTTTTCGGTTTGGCTCCATTCTTCAAGCCTCCTGGTCTATAGCTGATGGCTCCTCTTCAGCCTGCGGAGCAAATTGAGCAATGAAAATGCCATTGAGGTTCGCGGGAAGAGCTGTTTGTGACTGTTCGCTTTTATGCAGAGCATTTCCTCTGATTTAGAAGGACAGGTTGAGATTAAAGACAATCTATGAACAATGCTTCTCTACATTTTCCTGTCATTGTTGTCTCGGAGCACCATCTCACTGAAACAACACATAGATGACTTCTTTCTCGGGTCTTTTACCCGGTGCGTGCGGTGATTATTTCTGTAAGGAAAATTGCTCGACACCGTAGGGAGATTGTCGAGAAGCATTTCATTCCTTACGATTACTTTCCGAGCATAGAATTGATCTGTGAACGATGTGGATTCCTCCTGTTCATCTAAACACTTGCTATATGTCAAGATCATTTAGCAGACTAATCTTATGGTTATATACATGGCGCTACATTGTGTTTTCTTTTTCTCAAAAGTACCGGAAACAATGTCACGGTCGAGCTTCGGTTTTTTCATGGCTGCGTCGTGTTTTCCTTCATCTTTGGTTGGATGAAGCTTTCCGATTTGTAAGTTACAAGGATGAACGTTACACAAATTTATGTTTTAGTTAGGATTGGGTGTAGCTAATGTATGTAACCCACAAATCCTAAGCATGGTCTCCGACGAGGGATGGAGCAAAATACGGGTGGTTGAACAATATGATTCTTTCATATGGTTTGCTGGTGAACGGAGTCATAAAACATATTTTAGGACTGTTTCATGAAAATGAATAATTTGGAAAATAGTTTCTTAAAAATGATCACTTATGTTGCTTAAAATAATTAATCAATGAATTTTTCCTTTTTAATTATCGACAACAATTTATATCTAAATATTTTATTGGACAATGGAATTATTCCAAATGATTTATTTTTCATGGAACAAATGCTCTCTACAAATGCTTCTCTTCACTTGCTCTGGGTCCGTTTGCTTAGCGGAAAATGAAAGATTTTGGAAACATTTTCTTAAAATGATTGATCGTATCACTTACAAAATTGAATAAACAAAAAAATATTTTCACTGTCCACAAAAAAAGTTGAGACATGAGTCATTGTTGAGGATGAAAATATTTTTCATTAACTAATTATTTCAAACGATACGAGCAATTGCTTTTAGGAAAATATTTTTAAATTTTTTTATTTTTCGCGAAATGAATTGAGCCTCGATGTATGTTGGTAGTTTCTAATAGCATTACTTTGGAACCTCCTTATACAACTGCATAATTTGAACTTAGCTCGCCTTATTTGACCAAAAAAAGAGAAAAAAAAAGACTTGCTCGCCTTTCTTCCTTGGGAAAATGACACAAACAATCCCTGAACTTTAGCCTAATATTCAACGTGATCCCTAAACTTTTAATTTGTTCAATGCTGTTCCTGAACTTTTGGTACATGTTTAATTTAGTCCATGAATTGTATAAAAATATTCAATTTATTCAATGTAGTAGGGACTACATTGAACATTTTCATATAGTTCATGGAGTAAATTGAACATGTATCAAAAGTCTAGAGACCACATTGAACAAATTAAAAATTCAAGAACCACATTGTATATTAAGCTAAAGTTCATAGACTATATTGAATAAATTAAAAGTCAAAGGATGAAATAACATATTGCGTTAAAATTCAGGGGCTCTTTATGTTATTATCCTTTCTTCTTTGGATGAATCCTTCGCTGTGTTGCCCTACTTCACCAAGCATGAAACACGCGCACGATAAACCGACAAAAACTTCACCAACCCATCCGACAGCAAGCGGCCCGACGTGAAATTGAAAACCCAATGAAACACGTGTACTGCCCCCACTTCACCAAGCATGAAGCACGGGCATGATAAACCGACAGCAATTTCAAACCCGAAAAACACTTCAAAAGGCTCGCAAAACTCACCAGGAAAGAAGAAAGAATCCCCCATTTCGTAGCAGCTGCTGCTGATTTACGGGGCTTACTTCTAGACAATCTGGGACGAACATCGAGGGAGATACTGCCCAAAAGCTCTAGCATATTTTCTTGCGCCGGTCCTACGTAGCCATCGGCATCAGTACGTCGACGAGTTCGGAGATACTGCATTCATTCCACGTGCAGTATACACACAGATGTGACGCTCAGCTGATCCCCACCCAAAATAGTTCCCGGCATGTTCTTTATATGTCGAGTTGCTGAATTCTCAGACATTCAAGAGACCCTCGAAGCTTTTAATCCCATCATCATCATCCTCCGCCTGCTTTCTTCCTCCGAGAACTCGAGAAGTCTGTATAGAGACGCCAATGGCGGTTGCGCGTTGGCTGGTTCTTTATGTTGCGGTGATCGTGGCAAGCAATGCGTGGGATGCGAACGGTGCATTGCCAGCCGCGACCCTGAAAGAGATAGCAGGAGCTAACGCGAACGGCCCTTACATCGGCATCGTGATTCCTAACCTTTTCGAGATGGATCCGCTTCTTAATTCGTCGAGCTACAACGCTACTGAAATCATAGATTTCGCAGGTAACAACTGTTCTATGTCTTTGACTTGCAGGTTTTCCTAGAAAACATGGGAAATGCTTTCTTGGTCGGACTTGGACACGGACTCTTCGTTTACCAATATGAATATATGGATCAGTCGATGATCATGAGCTTTGATGGATCAATGTTTAGACATATCAAGATTTTGATGAAGTTCTTTGACTAGTATCAAATTAGCAAGTAAAGTCACACTAGATACTTCAATTTTGTGCGGCATTTTGCATACCATTAGTTAACTTTTTTTCACGGACTTAAAGATGTTGGTTTCCCTAACAACGTATTAGGAAACAATCTTTCACTTAACCCCTAACATCTCTCCATCTCTTGACGGACACCAAGGGAGAAGATTTCGGTTCGGGACAGTCGAGGAGAGGAAAGTCATACTGGTCATGACAGGTTTGAGCATTGTATGTATCCGTCTTACCTTTTCTTTCCTTTCCTTTTTCCCTAAACTTTCTTATGATTCAGTGCCCGCCTTGTAAGATTTTCAAAATATCGTTCGACCACGACTTTAATTTGGTGGCGATTAACGTGCTCGTACGTTACGGTATTGAGGGGAAAGTACGCATGAATTGGTGCAGATAAACGCAGCCATCACTACACAGCTTCTGCTGAGCTTCTTCGATGTGGAGGGAGTCATTCACTACGGAATCGCTGGGAATGCAAACCCTGCTTTGAACATCGGAGACGTCGCTATCCCCCGATATTGGGCACATACTGGTCTTTGGTATTGGCAGGTTTTGTGACTTATCAACCCAAATTTTTAGTTCGATCGATGTCTAAACAAAAATGGTTAAAACATGCACATTTCGAAGAAGATGATTTGACTTATTTTGCCTTGAAATTGTGGGGGAAACTATAGAATTGTTCTGAAAGTACATAAGAATGAAACTGCCAATGCGTTTTCGTCATTCTTTATTTTTCCTCCTAAGTTGAAAGGGATTTTATTAGTTTGACATTTTATGGAGATGGTGAGACTTAGAGAGAGACTGGTTAGTTTATTACGTACATAAGTCTACCGTGCACGCTTGTGATGATAATGATATAGGCACGAAAGGTAGCACACTCTAACACGCTCTTGGGTATGTTCTAAGAAGATAATAGCAATAGGGTGGCTTTCATACAATGCGGGTAGAAGTGAAAATTGTCCAAAAAGGTTTAAACCTATTATACAGTGGTCAATTGAGTACTGAACTTTTTTAATTTGGCCAATTTAGTTCTAAATCTTTTGATGATTTTCCAACGTAGCCCGTCCAGCCAAAATTGGCCGAAAATCGCCGACGTAGATCCCATCCACTCTATGTGGTACCGCTGGCATTGACATATACATTTTTTGCATTTTTTGTCCTTTCCGCCCGTGGCCTGTCTCGGAGATGGTCGGTGACCATCTCTTGCCTAGGTCTAGGTGAGTGCGGCCCTCGCCTATGGCCGGTTACCGGCCATCGCCGATACTAGCCAGAGGCAAAAAGGAAAAGAAACAGAAATAAAAAAAGAAAAAGAAATAAAAGAAAAGGGGAAAAAGAAAACAATTCAGGAAATTTTTAAAAAATTACAATATCCATATCAGCGCCGGCTGTGCCACGTAGACGACCGACTTTGATTGGACCACCACGTCAGTGATTTTCGGTCAAAATTAATCGGAAGGATTACGTTGAAAAATCGTTAAAAGGTTTAGGATTAAATTAGTCAAATTAAAAAGTTCAAAACTGAATTGATCGCAGTGTGATAGGTTTAGGACTTATGGTAATTCTCCCCACTTAACATGCACGAATCCCGTCAAAGTATATGAACATACAAATCATATGTTGCTAGTGAATAGCGAGATATTAAGAGGAGTACATCGGACCGATGACATCTCAAGATAGCCGGATCTAACGAAAAAAAAAAATACTTATTCTTTAGTGTGTTCTCTATGGCGATCCGTTCTATTCTAGCATCCATCGAACGACTTAGTGTAGTTTAGTACAATTTTGACTTAGTCCTGTACACAATATCTCATGGTTTCCATATAAAAAAATTGGTCGTACATTATACGGGTCATCCACGCTGATTAGATCGACACGATGGTTGTGTGCACAGAGATATGGGCAGGGTCCAGAAGACGAGCTCGCGTTTGAATCGGACGGGGACTACACGAGAAAGGTCGGGCACGTGAGGTTCGCGAACTACACCGCGAACGTGACGGGTCACGATTCGCACGACAATCTCCTGAACAACGTATGGTATCAGCCGGAGGAAGTGTTTCCCGTTGCCGGAACTCCCGAGGAAAGACAGCACGAGTTCTGGGTCCCCGTCGACTCCGCCTACTTTGCAGTGGCCAAGAAGCTTGAGGTACTCGATTTTTTTATAAGGTTTTGGCGTGTCATCTCTGTTATCTGTTGAGAAAAGAAAACTTCACTAAAATTGATTTTATAAATTGAGCATGGCGAATCTCAGGAGACAACTTAGATGAGATCAGTAGATCTTAGATGAGATCAGTAGATGGCAAAACATCATTTACATGAAAAGTAACTAAGTGACTTCAGCAGAGATGGATTAGCCTTTATCATTCTTGTTATTACTTGAATAATACCGCTTCAAATAGTTCGAACCGTTATCCAGAAGAGAAAGTATTACGATCATACGGAGTTTCGTGTGTCAATACTCCATTTTTGCAACGAAGAACAGACATGGCATTATAAAAATGCGACAAGAGACAAAGTTTGGTCACCTTTCTTGTCTATCCAAATTAATCATTTTATAATGAAGGGTCTTGTTCGCACATATCTTTTTAAATATATTTATTACTCACTAGGGCTTGAAATTGGAAGCTTGCGTGAATGCGACCACATGCTTGAACTACACGCCGGCGGTAAGCACCGTCAAAAGAGGCGTCAGTGCGGGCATCTACC